AGTTGTCTTCCATTTGCCAGCTCCAGGGGTCAGGTGTCCCCAGATGGTGTAGGATGGGTGAGGCCAAAGGGCAAGGGAAGTATGTCGACTGGAACATGAGAAGAGTATAAATAAGGACTGTTCTGTTTGCTGTCCATGTCTTTCTTTTGATCTCCTAAAAGGAACACAGCCCTACAATAAATACTCCAGACTTATATAAATAAGCGCCAGCCTTCAACCACCTCATTAGTTAGCCCCCGGGATTCCTAAGAACGAAGACACAGGCCTATTCCCTGAAAAGGTGTCATGGTGAAGAACTAAAGGTGTCGCCATAACCTTCAGTGAAGGTAGTGAGACGACGGAGTGAGCAGTGAAATGGTGTTGGGGTGGGAGGGGAAAATGGGGGTAAACACTATAGAATCTGCTTCTCTGGGGACAGGAGCGCTTAGGAGAAATGCTGGTTTCTGCAGGCTGAGGGAGGGGGCAGCAGTGTAGAAGTGGGAACAGATGAAATCATCTGAGTTGGGCTCGAGCAGCCAGAAGACGCTTTGGAAGCCCAGGTCTGAGCCGCTGGAGCTTCCGTTTTAGCTGCTCCAGCTGCACATTCCTAAAAAGCCAGCACTGTGTGAAGCATCGCCCAGCTCAGACATGAGTCACGCCAGCTTATTTTAAGGGCTGACCTCTTCCCGTGAAGGGAATCCAGGCTGGAGAGCCACGTGCTGGAAGGCGACCATGGACCGGGGCCAAGGGAAACAGAGGCCCCCTACAGCTTCCTGACAACCTCCTTCCCAGAAGCCCAGTGTGAGCAGAGGCCGGAACAGCTGTCAGCACTCACACCCCTCAGCCTCATGGGGGCAGGAACAGTGGGATGTGCAGCACGAGTGGCCGTTGTGCCTGCTGAAGGCTCAGGAAAGGGGCGGCAAGGCAGCGGGGAGAGGCCTTGCTTTCACCTCTTTCTGGGCCTTGTTTTTACGTCCACACCAAATTGTCCTGAGAGGTCACTGCAACTTGGGGGATAAAAAATGGACCGAGGGAGTACGAAAACTTGTGTTCACTCAGCCAAACGTCTTTAAGTGTGTTAATAATTCATATCCCCGTTTCCATTCACAGCCCTACTTACAAAGAGATCCCAGGGAAACCTAAAAGCTTTTCTGATTGCACAGGCTCATCCAGTATCTTCATAAAAGGTTCTCTCAACTGGCCTCTCAGAATCGACGGCATGATCGCTTATGAAGAAAAACTAATAGTTCCAGCTGGTAGTCATTGAAAAGTCACTTAATATTTCTCAGTGCAAGGAGCAATACTTAATGGGACCCAATGTTTTTTCCCTAAGCAGTTGGAAAAAAACCCTTGACATCATATTAATAATGTCAAGTTTTATTGGCTCTCTCATTTGACATGATATTAAACTTTTCAGACTCTATCTCAACTGAGGTACAAGGTTGTTAGAATGCAGACAGATTGGAGCACTACAGAATGTGGCAGCATAGAAATGCCTGTGCAGGTGAGTGGAGAGAGGCCAGAAGGAGTGAGACATGGGGTTCAATAGGCAAATCCCGCTTTGTGGAAAACCTCTGAGTACCTTGCCCCCTGCCCTGTGCTGTCTTCTTTCTGACACTGAAGGAGGCAGACATCTCAGGGCAGGATGGGGGTTCAGAACTATATGGCATTGGGCTGCTCATTTGTCCTTTGCAAGTCTACTTCTCTGGATAAAGTGACAAGACCAACATTAAGACACATAACAGCGTCTGTGGAGAAGCACAAGCACAGCTTAGCTCCATGGCACTTCCTTGGGACAAGACACTCTCGGCTTTCCAATCATCACAATGCCCAATAATAGCTAATATTACTGGTGCTACCACCTGGCTGACACTGTTCTAAGGGCTTTACCATATTAATCCTTCTTGGTTCCTCACAACAACTGCATTAAGTTAGATGCTATTTTTGTCCCCATTGTTCCCATTTTTAAGATACAAAGCTGAAGGAAGAGTTGCCAAAAATCTCATGGCCAGTAAGTAACACACCCGGGAATCCTGTCCAAGTAGGCTGCCGTTTGACACCCCATGCTTGTCACTCTTCAACACAATGGGACCCACTCTGGAAATGCCACGTGTCACATCTGCAAAGGCTAGGGCCCCCAGTCTGGCCTCTAGACCTCTCCCTAGCCCCAGCACGCCTCCTCTTCCCACCATTTCACTGTGGGAGCCTGACATGAAAGCAAGCCGGAGGTTTCCAGCAGGCAGGCAGCATTGACTTCGCCTGTCAAGCGCAAAACCATAAATAACATATTTTAAGCAAAAAACACCCCGGCAACCCAATAATGCATGTCTAAAGCCATTTTGATGTTGGAGAGATACAGTAATACTTTTATGCTTTGTTTAAAGAAATTGTTTCCAGCATATTTGTAGTGAAATCACTCCAAAGAGTTTATTTTGGATGATTGATTTATAGGAATCTGGCTCACACGCCCAGAGGATGACACTTAAATCATATCTTCTTTTCATTTATAATAAGGAACAAAACGATCATATTTTGACAAGTCTGATCATTTTGGGGCTTGAGCAGATTTCCTCGGTGGGCTCAGTCTATAGCTCGCGGAACTGAGAGAATATTATTACGTCTCATTAAAATCAGCTGCAGCTGCTTCGGCTGGCTGTCCCAAAGAAAACAAAGCTATTGGCGGTTTATTCTGGAGTCATCTACCTACTGATTTTTAAGAAGGGGATATATCTTTAATTGTGATTGTCAAAGCCCATCTTCCTTGGGTTTAAATTTAGAGCACACCCTTAAAGACAACCCTAACCCTCCCCCACAATGGGCCAACTCACAGTCTTTCTGTGTCCTACCCCCCCCTGACGCTGCTGCAGGCTCTGACCTGCTGACCCTCTGACCCCACAGAGGCCACTTTGAACTCCCAGGCCTAGTGGGAATCTTAACTGCCCAGGTGGTGGCAAGCGTAGCATTTGCTGCTTTGGTGCCTGCCCTCTCATTAAACCCAACAGTGGGTTTTGTAGTCCTCATTTGTTTCCAGATTCGCAGCTGGGACAGAAGCTGCCAGCACAACATTCCAAAATCTGAGCTGCCGCATCTATATTTATTCTCAGCTACCTCAGCTGGCCTTTGGGTCATGCTGAGTGACCCTGCCTGGGAGGGCCTGCGTTTTCCTCTCATGTTCCTACCAACTCTGACGGGCTTCCTCTTCTGCTCTCCCTCTCTCGCAGGGGCCCGCCCTCCGCCACTCCCGCTTCTTGGGGAGAAGAGAGTTCAGTCTGTGACAGCCACACAGTGAGAAGACCAGGAAAGTTCTCCTGGAACAAAACCTCACCAAGTTCTCAGGGTCCGTGGCGGTCTGTGTAAGAGTAGTCCAGCTAAAGATCTTCCTTCTCTCATCTCCCGCTTTCATCTTTCCAAATCCCCTCCCCTTGACTTATCTTTCTTTTCCCTCTGCCCCCAGCCCCCCCTCCTCTTTCTAGTCACCATCAAGAACAGCCAATTTAGTGAGTAGCCATACATCTCCAGCGAAGGCCCTGGGATCAGTGGCTAAAGGGAATGGCACAGCCCCAAGGGAAAATCAAAGACGAAATGAGCATTTGGATCATGCTGAAACTGAAGCTGAGTGCCCTCGCTGCATTAACCATGTGCCACATTGTCACCCTGCTCTACATTCTCCACTGAGCTAGAACCCAGCCCTGAATCCTCCTGGCTTTGACATACTATGCACTATGACACTGACCTATTCCCCAGCCTGCAAATGGCCCAGACAGAGCCCTGGTCTGGTCTGGCTCAGGTACAACTGAAGGCCAGGGGAGCATCAACCTTCAGTCACACGCCTTTGGCAAGACACTCCAGGCAGTGGGTAATGATCCTCATTTCGTGTCAAGTGCTCGATACCTGCATCAAATGTTTAAAATCCTACACAGGCTGCTGGCCTCTATTTGATTGTTTTAAAATGCGAGTTATTGACCTTGGGCAAGTCATTAGGTTTCTCTGAGCTTCAATATTCCATACCTAAAACTTGGAGCTCATAATGGCTTCCTATCTATGAGAATCGCATTACTTTATATATGTAAAAGTGCTATGTAAATTGTAAAATGCTGAATTAATATAAAAACAGTTAAGAAAGGCTGGACTGGATTGAGCAGTCATGATGTGCTGACCATTATGTCATGTGCACTTACTCATTTAATCCTCACAATAATCCATGTGAGGTTGACACCATTATTTTCCCCTTGCTTACAGATGAGGACATTGAGGAGCTCAGAGGGATTAAGGGAAGCCCACAGCTCCTGAGTGACACAGCTGGGATTCCAACCAGGACACAGGTGGGATTCCAACCACTAGTAATAGTGGATTACCACTACTGCTGTAGTAATCCATATTACTACTGTAGTAATCCACATTACTGTAGTAATGGATTATTATTATTGCTAGTATTTTTATTGTTATCATATATATCACACTTCCTACCATTCTGCAGTACCCATTGCAGATGGAGAAGCAGTCTACTCTCCTAGCTTTGCACACAAACACAACTATTGATTTATTACCATATCAAATAGTTTCCCCTCCCAAGAATCCCCCTAGGCAGTTAGATATACCTGGGCCTCTTTGCTATTCCATTTGTACCAGTTTTCCATTGAGCTGAGTGAGTAGGCCAGTATCTATTTGCAAGGCTGGCTGTAAAGGTTTGACGGCAGAGGCGCTTGGACGTATCTTATTCCCCCAGCCTCTGTGGACCCCAATCTTTCACCCGTTTCCTTTGGAACACATCTGTGGGAACAACCTCACTGGGAGGAATAAGTTACTGTCTCCAAGAGCCAGCGCAGGACTGGGGAGAGCTCCAGGTAGAGGAGAAAAGAGGCCGCTATACGTGCAAACCCCTTTGATAGAGCCAATGAGAGATCTTTCCAGAGGATTACAGTGACATGACACTTAGCCTTCCTCTCCTCACAGGCATGAGTTTGGAATAATTACCTAGGGCAGACTCACTCAAAGAGGCAGTAAGCTGGCTAAGGCTCTTAGAAGGCAGTCCTGATGACATTGTTATATATCCATCCCAAGGCTCAGGACATGGCAGGGTCGGGTATTAGCTGATTATCTGATTCTGTCAGCAGAGAGCTTTCAGCAAGTCCAAAGAGCCTGCCCCTAGATTTCCTCAGGGAAAGACTCAGCTTAGACACCTACAGTGGGGTCCTTGTGTGGAGCTCTGCCCCTGGAAAGGATCCTGCGTACTGATACTGCCAGTATGTATTCACAGGTGGGGGCGGAAGCGCGAAACCGTCTTCCAGGCCTCACGGTGCCACAGGGTTCCGGGAGTTTAGGTGACTGATGCTGGCTTCCCTCTCTCCGGAACTGGAGCCACAGATTCTCTCTCCTGTAAGTAAGAACCTTTCACGTACACTCAGATACTGGTTTCAGCTGTTGCAAGTTTTTTACCTGCAGCCTTGCTGGGGGCCTTTGAAGGGGATGGTGAATAGTTGGATAGGAGGAAGTGCGGAAGAGCCATTTCTGTGACAGCGCTCAAGGTCCAAGGCAGAACGACGTGTAGGTGGGCATGAGTGGCTATTTTTTTTCCAATCAGGAGAGGCTCAAATGGCAGCAGGAGGGACTACACTTAGCTGTAAAGGAGAACTCACTTGGTTTTGAAGGTAAGCCAGGATGCTTCTAATAATTGTGTTACAATAACTACATTTTATTATTTACTACATTTATTGTTTTAAGAACATTCTTGTATTATCTCATTTAATCCCTCCAACTACCCTATGAGAGAGGTGTGATCATTAGGTTTCCATTTTATAGCTGTGAAAGCTGAGGTTCAGATAAGTTAAATAACTTACCCAAGGTCAGCAGCTAGAAAGGGATGGAGCCAGAAGTTAGACCCAGGCAATCTGAGGCCACAGCCTGGGCTCCTAATGGCCACTTTCCAGCTGCCTCTCTGGAAAGAGGTAAGAAATGCTGGAGATAGCTCTATCTGGCTGGGCTGGGCACACACCCGGGAGACCAAGAGGTAAATAAGTGAGAGGATTTTGTGGGTTTGTGAATTTCAGAAGAGTAAGGATTCTCAGAGACTGTTTCTCTGTGCTCTACTCCTTCCAGGATCTGGGGGGAGGGTGGGAGTGAGACTGAGGGATCTTTGTGGGGGCTAAGTCTTGCCCAGGGTGCTTCTGCCCTCATCTGCTTTGCTCTCAGCACAGTTGCCTGACTTGTACCTGTTGAGTTAGGTCACCAACTGCCAAGTGGGACCAAGGAGTCAGTCACCTTTTCCATCCATCTTCTGTCCTGATCTGAGTTATCTCACACAAGTGGTGCCCTTGGACCCCGCAGTGCTGGACCTCCCAGTCTCCTTTGCAGCTCAGTGGGTTTTTATCTGGCCCACAGGGCTTCGTCAGTTTCAAGAACCCCCTGACCTTTTAATAAACATTTCTTATGCTATCAGAATATTTCCTAAGTCATTCCCTTCTGTCCCTGAAAAATCTAAATCCTATTTAAGTTAATGCCCTTCATTTTCATTTATAAAGACAGATACAAAATAATTATTTCCTATCTCCGTGGCTTTCTTATCTCTCGTCCTAATAATGCCTTTGGCAGATGAACATTTCCCATCAGTTGAAACAGAGTGTTTGTTTTTTGTTCTTTAAAGAAGAAAAATAAAATGCTTTCTTGGGCTTTGTCTCATCTGTCTTTTCTCTTTCAGCCTTGCTCGGCCCCCTTCCTCTCTTCCTATCTGCCTCCCTGCCTGGGTGTCTCTCTCCCTCTCCTGGCCCTTGCCAGCCAGGCCGGGCCCCTCTCATTTTTCGGCTGGTGCAGCAGTCTTTCTGCAGCCTCACATCTGAATTTCATCAGCCCCTGAGCCTCCTTTGAGCTCAAGTCCCCCCAGCTAGTAAAATTGGTTTGGATGAGCAGACACAGTCTCAAAAAGAAACATTCTTTGGTTTCCTCTCATGAAAACTAGTGAGCAGAGAATTCACAGTTCTCTTCTCCAGGCATCTCTTTGAAGTGTTTGATTGAAAAGGGAAGGGATGAAAAGGGATGGGGGGTGGGTAGTGGTGGGCATAAGGATTCCAGGTCTAAGTAGCACCTCTGAAAGCAGAGACCCAGACTTCTGGAGACCTTCTCTGTTCCTTGGGTCAGAGCAACATTGACTGTTATTTTTGGCTGTTCTGTACCCAATCCAGTTTTTACCCTCTCTTTCATTTTGAAATAAAACTCAACACACAATTTAAATCCAGGGTTTGGAAGAAAGTCATTAATGAAAGCAGGCTGATTTTAAGGGGATCCGTTCAGTTCTCAGCCAAGTTGTTCAAACCCAACCTTGGCACTTCCCAGGTGCTTCTACATGCCAGCCACATCAGTAATGGCATTTACTGCTCACGACCACCCCCGTAAACTAGGTGCTATTGCTTCCCTGTTTTACCCATGGGGAAACCAAGGCTTGGAGAGACTAAGTAACTTGGTCATGGCGCTCAGCCAGCAACGTTATAGCCAGGCTAGAACCCACGTCTGCCGAACTCCACAGCCTGTCCTCCCAACTCGTGTATATTCTCTCCTCGCCTAGGCCTTCAAGAGAAAAACATTTCTGCTACTCTTCAAGGCCAAGAAGAAACTCTGAAGAGCTCTTTTGTGAAGGTATCTAACGGGTGAACCCTGATCTATTTTATCATTCATAGGGAATAAGGGTTACGAGACACAGAGAGGAAACCGCAAGAGAAAAATGTCTGAAAGTGTGGTTCTAGGGAGAGGTCAAGGCCTCATTGGATGGGCCCCTTGGACTTAATCTAAATCAAATCCCTTCATATTATAGTCAAGGAAACTGATGTCTGGGAAGACATGGGTCTACACCTTGCCTACACTTGGCTCAGCAGCTGAAACACACTGATCTAGTCACAGCCCCAGAGAGCTCCACTTCGTCTCCTGGAAGGACACGTGGAAGCCATGTGGGGATCTGCCGAGGGAGGCAGGGAATTGGGTACCTCCCTCTGTAAGACCCAGACTTGGGGCTCAGGGAGGCTAGCAGTGGTCAGAAGCCTTCGGATAAAGAAGGAGTAGTCATGAGGTCAACACTCCTGTACAACAAAACTCTGAAAGGGGCAAGTGACCCTGAGGCCCCAAATCCTAAGAGCAGTGTCCACTTTTGGTCAGTGGCTAGGGCAGACCAAGTGATGCTGTCTCTTTTCTGACTCCCTGGAAGGTCCTAGGGACCAGCGATCTGGTTGCCCATGTTACTGGACTCAGTGGCAGTTCAGGTCAGAGGGCAGGAAGGATACTGTCATCAAGGACGATACCATAGCTGAAGACTATTTACAAAGCAGTGTCAATCGAACAACTGTTTCACAGAATGGGTCACCTGAACTCGAACCCTAGCCAGTTGCGATAACATCTTCCAGTTGATGTTTGAAAGATGATAACAGGCCTTCCTGTCTCCTTGTCTCATGATGTTACCACTGGAACAATTTTCTTGCTCCTAGGAAGTACTTCTAAAAATAGACACGTATAAGTAGCAGAGAAGCATATGAAACCACCAGTATAACTGGTTTGAAAGGGGGCCGTGAAGGAATGGGGCTCCGGGACAAGTGTGGTTTAGGGGCTGTGTGAGTTGCTAGCGATGCGGAAGACGGTAGGTTTTGAAATGATCTGAGCATATGTTGCCTCGCTGGGGGATCCGGACCTCGGAGAAGAGGAAGAATGGAAGAAGGCTCAGGGAACAGGTGGTCAATCCTGAAATGTGGCCTCCTAAATGCAAAAGAAACTTTGCCAGTCTCACGTTGCTCCTGACAGCTGCTCTGGGGTGAAGGAAGGTGCTGCCCAGCCTACAGGAAAGGAAACATGGTCTGCGTTCTGGTCCCTGAGCTGCCTGTCTGCACTTTAGTTTCAGGTCCCATAAAATGAGGGTATGTGGCTATCCGCATTTTCCCAACTTCAGTTTATTCAAGTACAATTTTCATAAGTCTTGTCAGATCTTCAAATAGTTTTCTTTCAGTTGGCTTACTTTTAAAATGTGTTCTCACGCTAAACATACCATCCATAATACATGGGTTTGTTGTGCATGCCATATTTTTCTATGTACATGAAAATAAACAGAACTATTAATTTTCTTTAAGGCTCATCAGTGTATCACCTAAAATTGCCTTTTGTACTCCCCTCGGAGGAGCTCTGGGCTAAGTGGTGGCAGGCTCCTTTGTCACGTGGTACCATGATGTGGGGAAATACCTTCCTCGTCCCTTTCTAAGTGGAAGCAAAGATTTGCAGAAGCTCCGAGTCCCTACTGGGAAAGAGCATGTCTCACGGATGCTGAAGACAGATTTTTGAGCACAATGACAAAGTCATTGCTAATTGCAGCCAATTACTCTATCAGTTGGGACTGGTAAGGACAACTACTTCAAGTCTAGTGATGTCTGGGAAAGAATTACCATACTGGTAAATAATTTTGACTTGAATAATTTTTAATGCTAAAATTTGCTACAAGCACTTAAATAAAAAAAATAGACCAATGCCTCCATTAGAGCTTAATAAGGCAGTTTTGTAATTAATAACCCACCAGTCACACCTGTAATTTTGGGTGTGAAGAAGAAGAAACGTTAACTATGTGTTATTTTGTTTTTCTGAAGGGCAGAATTATTTTCTCTCAGCCCCCTGCGGCCCGAGAGCACCCACTGGAAGGTGTCCTAGGTTATTCCAAGCCATCCCTTATCTAAAGGAACAAAAGTTCATCAAGGTTGACTGCACTGTGCATTTCTAGCTAGGCCTCTAATTCCTTCTGTGTCTTTTCCTGACCATGAGAGAGTGATTGATTTATTTTCCTTTTACTGTGCCTCAGTTTCATCATCTGTTAAATTAATACAAAGTGAAATGGCCTGAGAAGTGTTATGCTTAAGCACTGTGTGTGTGTGTGTGTGTGTGTGTGTGTGTGTGTGTGTGTGTGTGTACGCACGCGCGCGCGCACATGCCCGTGTGCTGTAAGCTGCTGTTGCATGTTTAAACAAATACTGACACTAAATTGCTTGGAATAATTTTATTAATACATCATTGTATTTATTCTCATTCATTAAGTACCTATTAAACACTCATTCATCACTCATTCTATCCATCTTTCCGTTGATGTACACTTTCAACAAGTATTTATTCAGTATCACTGTGTGTTGTATCCTGAGGGAGATACAAAACCAGTATAAGAGAGCATTCCCACCTTCCAAAACCTAGGAATCTGTTTATTAAAAAAGATATTGACAAATGATAACAAAACCACCTAGCAGGAGCCAATGATATCATGAATGATACAGAGGGTAAGCATTCTAAGAAGTAAATATTTTAAGAATTCAGAGAAAGAGAGAGAGAGATATTTGTAGGGTGGTAGATTCAAAAAAGTATTTGAGGAGGAGGGGAGACTTGAGAAGAGTATTAAAGCATGAATTGCATTCGGGTTGGCAGAGAAGATAGTAAAGGGTAAGAATCGAGCATTATAGATAATTAGCTCTGCCATCTACTTGCTGTGGGACTTTTGGCAAATCTCTTAACCTCTCTGGTCCTCAGTGTTTTCCTCTGTAAAATGGGGAATTGGACTGGTTGCTCTAAAATTTTACGATCCAGTGAAAATCTAGACGGAGGGGAAGATCATGAGTGATCTCAGTCTGGAGGCAGGGGAATGGCTGAATGACCTTTGAAAGACCTTGCTTGATTTGCAGACTGACTGCTCTGCAGTAGAGAGAACGGGCTCTGTTTGAACTGAGGGCCATAGCCTAGAGGTCTGATCAGAATTCGCTGTCCCTGGACTAGAAGAAACACAGCCTCATGATCTTGCCAACAACCGCCTGTGGCAAATTCAGTACCCTGCTTGATGCAGCATTTGGAGGAAATTTTTCCATGAAAACAAAAGTTTTAGCTTAATCATTCAGCACACACATGCATTTAAAAATACTGTCCGCTCTCTAACTAGCTGTCTTTTAAACAAAGCTTCTTGGCTTCCTAGCAGCCTGGCCTCCATAGTCTAAAGCTTCCTTATGAAGAACTCAGGGCCAGGCATAATCCCAGCTGTCCCTGGGCTTAGAGAGAAGTTTCCCCAGGCAAAATGAGGTGTCTAAAGTGTATTTCCACAGAGAAATGAGAAAGGCACATCCAGGGTCCCTAGGGACTGGTGCAGGCAGAGTGTGGATGGGAGTGAAACAATAAGACAAAGTCATTTGGCCTAAGTGTAGATGGTGAGTTTCAGGGCATTAGAGAAGTCTTTTTCCACACTGCCTCTTGATCCAATTTTATTTACCTGGTCACCTAATATCTATTCATTTCATCATCCATCTAACATAAATTCATTGCCTAGTCTGTTCCCTACACTGTTCTAGCTCCTGAGATCCCTGTGAATAGAGAAGAATCAGTGTAGGACTCTGTTCAGGGGAAAATAGGAATTTCTCTTGCAGCCTAGTAGAGACCTTGCAATCAATTTCTGCCTTGCCCAAATTTAATATCTTTGATTTTTTTTTCTAGTTGCATGGCATTTGGTGGGGGGAAGGGGGGAGACGTTGGCTCATTTGATGAAGGTTATCCACCTCAAGGAGGGGTCAGTCTCATCTCCCAGAGAGCAGAACTACGTCTATATCACTCACTTCATACACAGTTCAGCCCAGCACTAGACTAGCAGAAGCCCAATGACTGAATGACTCGATGATGAAAACGCTATTTATCAAAACAGCAGCTCACTTAGATGCCAGAGTTACAGCATTTAACGCAGTTACCAGCCCACCTTTGTCCCCTTAATATTCTAGCCTGCTTCCCCAGCCACCTTGCTGAGATGCCAGGAATGGCAACATCAAAAGAAAGAGAGAATGCCTGAAGTTGGAATTGTGAATCATTCTGCAGTGAAGTGAGAGAGTTGAAAGGGATTACCACTTGGCCTGTGAACCTGCTGGAGGGTCTTTCCACCACTGCTCACCTTTTCTGGAGAGCTGCCTTTTTCCCACTGGGATGAAGGCATGGACTGAATGGTGGTGGTGGTTGATAGGAAGGGGGCAGGGGGTGCTGAGGTGGGGTGAAGCGGTGGTGAAGAATGGGGTTGGCAGCTGTCTCCAACCTTGGGCCACAGAAAATAGTTCAAGATTACCAATCATTAGGCTTCCGTAACTGGAACAGAAGATGATGAGAGGAAAGTTAACAAGCATTTAGGTAGATATCTGGTAGGACTTCCTGATTATTAAGGTCCCAAAGGAGACTGAGGAGTTATTAAATTAACCATGGCCTTTGGTTTCTTTATCTATTAAATTGGGATAAGAATACCTATCTTGAAGGCATTTATGATGATGAGATTTAAAGAGATAATGTATATAAAGGCACCTAGCACACTGATTGGTACATAATAATCACTTAATATTTGTTGCTGGAATCTGAACCTGAATCCTAGAGAGGGGAAAAGGCTTCACAGAGAAGGTGGCCTCTAAGCCGGGCTATGTAAACTCCTAAGGATATTTTGGCCAATAGAGTGCTGCCTTTCAATCATATCCCTCATGGACAGCCCATCCTGCAAATGGCTCTTCTGATATTGACTTTAAAAATGAAATGATTATCCTGAGCCCCTTTTGGAAACATAAAAAATATAGTGCAAAGAGATCACTGCCTTCCTCAGATTACATGATTTGCTCATTCCAAGAGCCAGGGGGTCTCATGGGCCACTGGCACCGAGCCTTGGACATGAGCTATGGTTCCAGAGCCAGCGGGAGAAAATAAAAGCCCAGCATTTTGTCAATAAGTGTCTCAACTCTGTATTGCTAAGCTTATTCTTTCTAATTTCCCATTCCTTTCTTACATCAAAAGGTGAGAGTCTCACTAAGGACAAAATAGTAGAGAATAGGCTGATACTACAAGAATGAGGCTATAAGATAGACATTGGAAAGAACTTCCAAGTAGAAAAGAAGTGATTAAAATTGGAATGAATAGCCAGAGGCAGTCCTAGATTCTTTTTCAGGCACCCCCAAGAATGGGAGAGGCCACCAACTATAGTAAGTCCTCACTGAATGTTGTCCATAGGTTCTGCGACTTAAGGGAAATGATATATAATGAAACCCATTTTACCATAGGCTAATTGATATAAATAAGAGTTAAGTTCCTATGGCATCTCATCAACTTTACAATGAATTTGAATGAAATGATGTTATTCGCGGACCTGCTGTACTATCTAATTCAGGAACATCATAATATCACCTTGTAAGGTTTCTTCCAGGTTCTCCAGAGACGAGGCTGGGAAGCAGCTGTCATGGTTACCTTACGAAGCTGCTGAGTGGGGCTGGGGTCAGAGGCAGTCCCTTAAAAGGGTACGCTTTATTTCTGCTGCCATTTGGTAAAGGAAGGCAGTGGGCTGGGAGATTCATTTGACAAGTGGGGTCAGGAAAATGGCAGTTGTTGATCCCAGGTGGCCAGAAAGACTCCCGGTGAAGGTAAACATAAGTGGAGGTAGATGGAGAGGTGAGGGTTCACTCCATTAGAAGGCTGTCAAGGCCAGCTGAGTTCTGGAGTGTCTGGAGAGAGGGATGCATGTGTGATTGGCCTCAGTCTCAGGATGAGGAAGTGGGGTGAGGGGCAAAGGACAAGAGCAGCAGGATGGAGGAGGAGTCCCCAACAAGAGTGATAAAGGGGCATCTCTAGCCCAGGCACTATTTCTGTTTGAAGCATGGATGCTGCTAGCTTTGGGCAGGTATGCCTTGTGCTGCAATTGTGCCAAATGGAGTCGAGTGGTTGGCTAAAAAAAAACCCCTCCACTTACTCATTTGCATGTGGGTTTGCATCTCATTTGCATGCTATTTACTTAATGTCATATGCATACTACTTCCCTGCTCCTGCTTATTCTCCTCCCCAGCTCCACCAAACTCCTTCATCTTCTTCCTTTCTCAACACCTCTGCCCCCATATTTTTTTCTCCCCAGTTTCTGTTCTTCTTCCTCCAAAGCAGTAAAAAGAGCACACAGGTTTTGTACCTGGGTAGAGTTGCACTGTAACCTAACGTCCTCTAATTGTCTATCTTTGGAGCTTCAGCAAATCTGAAATCTCTCTTACTCTTGTCTATAAAATGGGAGTAGTAGTACCTATGTCTCAGAGTCATTGCAAAGAATAAATTAGTCAGCAAAAAAAGCACCTGGCTCTACAGTAGGAACACAATGAGGTAAACCACCCTGGTCTCAATTCTCTCTTGATGCCTTCCACATCAATTCAGGAAAACTTTAAGGCTCTGGAGTCCCTACTTGGTACTTTCCTTGGAATTCATGAATAAGCCAGTTGCTTCTTCAAATTCTCCTCTTTCTTGGTCATGTGTCCAAACTGCATTCTCCTCCCAGGACAAAGGGAGAAGAAACTGTCAGCACCGGTGTTCCTCTGGTATTTTCCAGCATCCTCTAACTGAAAGCTTCTCTCATTCATCTTCCCCAGCTCCCAAAGCCTGAGGATGCCTGGCTTGCTAATCTCCAGGTGGGCTGGCTTCCTCTGCAGCCCCTTTCCCAGGCTTTCAATCAGCCTGATCTCCAAATCCCTGTCTTGATTTGTGTCCCTAATAGCCCACCTGTCCCGGACTGCCAAAGATGCTTGGGTCAGCTTCTGAGAACCCCTCCCCTTTTTCTCCAAACAGCATCCTGGCTTCTCTCCAGGCATTAGATTCAGAGTTTAGTCGTATATTTTGAGAGATGCATAGTGAGAAAAAAATAAAAACTAGTAAATCTCCACTCTGCATCCTGAGAGTCACTCCTCATCACTTTTGGTCAGGCATTTTTGTTTTCTCTTTTTCTCTGAAGCAAGGGCAAGGGATCACATTATAAAATAATAAGCATTGCTAACCCTCGAGAAGCATTTGCTGTGTGCCAAGAACTGTTCTAAACACTTTATATATATCATCTCATCTAATCCTCATGACAATCCTGTGGAGTAGCTATCATTATTATCCCCATTTTACAGATGAGATGGAAAATTAACTTGTCCAGCTAGGGAGGGTGGAGCCGGGATCCTAATCTGTGCAGCCATTTTCTTGACGATTGGTCATAGTGGATCAACATATGGGAGATGTGAGTAGGATGGAAAGCCATTATTCTTGATGCTTTCCAAATTTGGGATAAAAAAGAGCAGACTTTTTTTATAGTGAGTGGAATTAGGTTAGACATCAGATAGAACTACCTGTTTCAAAGAATTAACAGCAGAGCCATCATTATTGTATGTATAGGATATACTGGTATAAAATGGTGGTTCTCTTCGAGTCTGCAAAAACCATGTGTCTCTAAGAATGGAGGAGTGGTGGTATCTGTTGAGAGAGAAGTTAGGGCTGGGAGTAGGCTTAAGGACTTCTGAAAGATGACCAGAGAATCAACTAGTCAATCAATGGGTTGATGAATATATGTTGAGTATTCTATAGAAGGTATTTTAATAAGGATTTGCTAAGACTCTTATGTAACAAGACTCTTCTGTGTTAGGCAGAGTGAGGCTGGGCTGGGTAACCGCCTTTGGTTCTTTCCAGGTTCAGAATATTATACAGCCTCATTGTTTGGGTAGAAAGTGGGAAGACTCCACAGCCTTTGCTTTTGTCCTCTTGTTTTTGCCATCATATGGTCCAGATCTCTGCCCATGCTTGCTCAGGTTCAACAGCTCCTGCCACAGGTCTGGACTCACTCCACACTTACTCCCAGAAGTCCTTCCCAAAGGGTTTGCCTGGAACCATGTCCCTGATCAGCAAGTCTGTGAAGAATTCTTCCTACAAGTTCCCTCCAAGGGGTCCTTTGAACCTTGTCTAGTTTGTTCCTAGGAGAGCAGAGTGTCAATTCTTCCTGACCCTGTCATCTGGTCATAAGTTTACAAGGAAGTCATTCATTCATTTAGCCATTTGTTCACGTATTCTACAAACACTTATTAATAGTCTCACATATGACAAACCCTGTGCTGGAGCCCAGGGATATAGGGACCAAAGCGTTTTGTACGCGCCTGTTCCCAAGGACCTACTGTTAGTGGGGGAGACAGACAAATCCAGAGCAGGTTGCGCATATCCCCAGATCCATTCTGGCTTGGGGGGACAAGCTAGAAAATCTGTCCCTTGATCAGGGTCCCTCATAGAGCCTGTACTTTTAGTATGGCTGCATTTGCCATCCATCATACCAATTAATTAATTAATTGCATTTTATTTTATATTCTGGGAGTTTGGGTGTTTTGAAGGCAAAAATGCAAATATATGCAAATCATCACACACATTTATGCAAAGACAACATAGAAATGTGTCCCCAGATTTCCTGGGGAAAAAATCTGGAGGTCTCAGCCGGTCTCTCAGCAGGCTGCCTGTCCCCAGGACTGTCCTATCTTCCCTTTTGTTTGGGTTCTTAATCTGTGCTGGGTTCCCCGCGTGACCACTCTGAGGTCAGTAATGCAGGTGGGCAGTCAGCAGCCTGGCTATCTATTATCCTAAGACCTCTCAGCTTCCTGAGCCACCAGAAAACTAACTCCCTGTAATCGGCTTTCATTTGAAACAATCAAGAGATTTCCTACCACTTTCCCCTAGGACCAGGTCTCACAAAACACCCAGAAGCAGAGTTTCAGGCTTGGGGCTTGGCTTGACTAAGGGACTTAATCTAGGAGGTTGGCAATATCTGCTTGTTATTGGAAAATAAATCCGAACCATTTTATTGACCATCTTCTGTATGTATGCACAGCCTTGGTTCTTGTGAGAGCTGGGAGAGGATAGTTAGGGCTGGGAGAGGACTGCAGACACTGTGGCTTTGCAAGGTAAGGCTGCCCAGTAGGTGTCACAGGAAGCCTCCTGGAAGCAGTTTTGTAGGAGAAGGGGCTCTGAGGGCAGAGGCTGACAGGGATGGCATGGGAAGAGGATCAGCTGTCAACTTGCAGAGTGTCATCAGGTAGCCTGGCTTTGCAGAGTCGATAGGAGCCTGATAAAGCAGGCTCAGGGCAGCCGGGGTTGGAAAGGACAGGGCTGGGAAGGACAGGGTTGGAAAGGACAGGTGGGAAAGAGGGCAGGGCTGAGGGGTGAGCTGGCTACCTGCTTGTGTACCCACTTTTCGCCAGGAGAGTGAGGACATGGCTCTATGGCAATAGGCACAAACAAGCTCACATGCCATCAACTTATCAAGCATGGCCAGACCCTCGTGAAGATGTGTAAACTGAAGGCTGCCTGAAGGATTCGATTTAGGCTGAAGAACTTCCAGAGGGTGGGCGTTGTGAGACACTAGAACAGGTGACTAAGAGAGGATGTGAAATCTTCCCTTGGAGAGCCTTTGAAACAAATTCGAAATCCATTTGTTGTGTGGGAGAGGAGGCACAGTTCTGTCTGGATGCAGGGGGACGGACTAGATGACTTCTGGCAGTCCAAGGAGACTAAGGATAGATCTACCCAAGTAGATACATGTACAGCGACAACCTGCCTGCCTATGTATGGCCATGCTCACGGATACAGAGTTTAGTTTTTCTTATTCTATTTTCCTCCTTCTCAACAGATCAGCTGGTCAGACCATCCCTTCCGGTCCAAATTGGAGCTCTGTTTTACACCATCACTGATTCCCTCTCCTTCTCTGTGTGGATACAGAGCGTCTCCCATCTCTGGGGGAACTTTCCTTCAGGCCAGTGGTGCTGGGCAGCCTTGTTGCCATTCTGGCCAGAGCCTGGAGCTCAGTCCTCTGGAGGGGCACAGGGCAGCGTTCTGGCAAGCAAGCATGTCAGAGCAGCTCTGGCGTTTCCCTAGAACAATTCAAATTGCTTTTTTTACACCTCACTGCACTATGCCAACCCTGATTCACATTATTTGTGCACTCGCTAAGTGTACATTATCTGATCCGTCACCCTGTAAAACGTTGCAAGAGGAATCCGTGGCTCCTGTCTGCTGCTGACTGTAGGTCAGGGACAGAAGTTTCTGTACAAATATTTTGCAAAACGGGAAGGAAGGAATAAACCCAATGCCTCCAACAATAGCCCACCATGGACATGGGCTGGGAGAGAAAGTCCATGCCTCCTGCCCCAGTAACTCAGACTCTCCTGGAAAGACAGTTCAACCAGAAAGCCCCAGAACCTTTGCTTCCCATGGCCTCCTTTTTGTGTCACATTATTTAACAAGAAGAGACAAGCAGGAGGAGAAATAAGTCTTTGAACCCAGCTATGCAGATTTCCTCTGACTGGAGCTAAGGGATTTGGAGAGAGTTGGAGGCAAGAGGTAGAGGGAGGTGGGCTTGTAAGAGTAGGCAAGACATATTCCCTCTCTGTCCTGTGTCTATCTCAGCTTCTCTGGAGGTGAATAGGGCTCCTTGTCCTGCTTAGTCCAAGGTTCTCCAAAAACTGACCAAAGACCCTGGAATCCTTCCACTCTGAGTCATCTGGGAACTTCGCTAACTGGCTGCCTGGCTCTCCTATGAACCCCTTGAGACAGCTTATCTCTAGGAAGCCAAAGTCCTCTAGAATTATTAGAAAATGGATTTGACCAGATATCATTCTGCCTTTTTGTTTTTCCCTCCTGCAATCTGGGTAAATGGGAAACTTTTTTTTTTCTTAGAGATCTTACGCTGTCCCAAATCGTCACTGGAATTCGGCAACCCATCCCATTAAAGATTGGGGTCTCATTTCTGAATGGAAAAAGCTAGGATCTTCTGAAGATTGGCTGAATGCCCTGGTCAGATTTAAAAGTAGATCCCTCTTTTAGCAGGGAGAGCTTCGTCTTCATCTTCACGTTCAAGACAAATGACTTGCTCTGCAAGAGTCCAGGTATCCTGCACCATCTCAGCTCTGCATTCAAGTCACTACATGTATATGGAGAGCACACGGGGTGCATGAACCTATCCCAGGGCCTGTGAAATGGGTGAAGCAGAGCAAGACCTGGTCCCTGCCCTGAGGTTGCTTATGATCTGGTTGGATTGACAAATAGCTGCCTTTCCCAGCGGTTCCTGATTTGGATCCAGCCCCAGGGCTCCTGAAGGGCATTTTGCAGCAGTGAAACCCAGGGGTCACCCAGCTGAGAACCACGTTTCCTTTCTGTTGGCAGGAGCCAGCAGCTTTCACATAGGAACTCATATCTCTCTGAAAGCAAGAAATCTGATGCCTCACTGACAACTCATTTTCTCAACCTTCATTCCGGGGGAAGGCGACTTTGTGTTCCAGCTGCCATATTGTAGCTGCAAATCCTGATGCACCATCAATTAAAAACAACAACAATTATGCATGGGGGGAAAAGCCACAGATAATGGGCTTCCATTAGATTAAGTAGTTATAGGCATAGAAAAGTAAAACCTATACTTCGGCTAATTAAACCCACTCACCATCTGATTAAGCTGTGTTGTGAGACCATGGAAAAGTACCAACCACTAACTGTAAGTAATCCGGCACAGATGGGGATTAATAGCATATTCCCTGGCATAGAGATAATGGATCTCCATTGAGGTTAATCAGGATCATTAATAAGCCTTGACAAGATGGACAGTACCAAACAGCTGGCACCTAATGTCAGGGTCAGGGCAGACCATGCTCCTAATAAAAATGGCTTCTCAATTCCACTCCACCTACTGAGATCAGCTGCTGAGAAGGGATGTGCTGACCTCTTGAGATGCCATCAGATTTGACATTCTACTGTAGTTCTAGACCTGCTGTCTTGACTCAAGTGACCCAACCAAAGAATATGGAGTTAGGAGCCAGCTGCCCTGCCTTGGAAGGGTCTCTGTGCCAGATCATCGTGCTTCAAGGGTAACTAGGAACCAAAGCAGTGGGTGCCCTGAGAAGGCAGCATGACCTCTAAGAGGTGGGGCTCGGGTTACCATGGGGACCAGGCCTACAGCAGGGCTTAGGTGCCAGAGTGGGGCCTTGTTGACATAGCCACAAGGATGTAGTTTTGGGGGCTGAGAATCAAGGGCAAACCCAAGAAAGAACCCCTGGGAGAAACAGCTGTGGGGTGAAAGATGAGCACGTCCACTGTATGGAGAGTGGAATGGGGATCTGAGGGGCGGGAGCTGGCTGGTCCGAGCTCTCTCAGACAGAGTGTGCCCAGCGCCCACTTAGCAGCTACTCTCCAGCCGGCTCTGTCCTTCGGAGCAGCTGGGAGGAGAGCACCCGGGCCTTGCCTTCTAATTACCACTAATTGGGTAAATGCTGAGACGATCTCTCTCCCCCTTCCCTTTCACTCCCTCCTCCCACAAACGCAACTGAGAGATGCAGAGAGGTCAAAAAGAGACTTTTCCAAATGGAGACAGGCAAGGATGACATGGTGTGAATACCAAGCAGCCACTGCCCCTGGGAAGGGAGAGAGGGACAGGGAGAAGGGAGGCTGCTGAGAGGGTGGCAGCTTCTAGGAGGCACTGAGCGAGAAGAGGGAAGAAATGGGGCAAAGGTGGGGGGCAGGCTGAGTTTCGGGAGCTCAGGTCACTTTCCCAATTCGGCTTCCTCTCTCCTCCCCTTTGGAGCAACATGGATGTCTTGTTTAGGTTTGTTTAGATTGTTTAGATGTCTTGTTTAGATTGAAGTGATGCAATCCATTTTCTGGGACTTTTTCCTTTCAGAGCCCTTGGCTCCAGATCCTGGAACTCCTGGGTTTACGTTTATGGAGTAGGTTCTTCAGATAGTCTGGATGGGAGAGGAGGGGCCAAGCTGACTCAGACTATATGCAAGGTCAAACTGACTGTGACCCTGAGGGCAAAAGCAATACTTTTTTCCTTTCTCTCCAGCTGTGGGTGGCAGCCATGTCTGTGTCTGAGACAGGCTAAGAAGCTCATGGATTTAGGTTTGAGGCAATAAATTCGTTTCAACAGAGGTTTCGTGTTTCTCTTTATTTTTATTTTGTAAAGCTTGGAGGTGAGAAGGGAATAACCACCCCATTTTATAGATGAAAAAACTGAGGCCACAAGTGATGTGGCTGGGTACCCACCCATTTCTACTTTAGAGCCAGGACAGGAATCCACAGTGGCTGAAGTTCTAGGCAATCTACTAATAATCCATAATGTTCAGAAAAATATTGTTTGGCTTTAAGTTATGTGAGGAAAACATGCTTGTTTTTTTTTAAAAAAAAATTATTCCAACAGTACAGAAGGGTTTAAAGTAAAAAGTCCCCAAGCCCACTCTGATCTCCTAGGTCCCACTAGTTATCCTTTGAGAAATTTCCTATCTCTGTACAAGCCTGCATGTCTATATATATTTTCCTCAAATTAAAAAATACTTTAACACTCTGTATTATGACTTTATTTTTTCATTTGTCTATTATAATTTTATCATTCTTTACAGTGTACAAAGTGCTTTCATTCTCACGTTAACCCATCATGGTAAGTGGGATAGGCATTATTGTCCCGGTTTTCAGATTCAGAGAGGTTAGGTCATTTGTCTGCTGTTAGGTATCTGTTTATTATTGGAGCCAGAACTCAAACCTGGGTTTTCTGGATTCAAATCCAGGGCTCTTGCCACAATAACAATAAGAGCACAGACCGGACTTCACAATAATGACAACAAACATTCACATAGACCTTACTGAGTGCCAGAGACTTCTCTATGTGCACTGTATCTATTATCTCACTGAATCCCCACGGCGCTATGAAATGAGCACTATTACTACAATCCTCAGTTCACAGATGAGGAAACCAAGTCACAGAGAGCTTAAATATAACTTGCTCAGGGTGCTAGGAACTCATGATGCTGGGGTTCAAACCCCAGAGTTTGCCTAGAGTCTGTGTTTTTCACTTCTATAGCACACTCACTCTGTGCCAGGTGCTGCTAGATGCTCTTTACATATGGTAGCTCATTTAATCCTCACGACAACACTGTATCAAGCACTGGTAACATCATTGGACCACGGGACATCTTCACCATTGCCCCAAGCTCAGAAATAAGTCATCTCCCAAAGGCTCTGGGACAGTTCTAGGGCTAAATGTCCTACCTGGAGACTGAATAAACCAATCAGTGGCCCAAAATGAACACCCAAGTAAATCTTAGCTAGGGACAAATAATAATGCCAACTACCATCAGCTGAGTTCTTACTCTATCCCACGTTTGTATAAAGACTTTCCACATACCTCTTGATTTCATCTTTATAATAATCTTGTGATGGAAGGGTTGTCATCCTCATATTACAGATGGACAACCTAAGGCTCGGAGAGGTTAAATAACTTTCCCAAGATCACACAGTTTAGTAAGTAGAAGAGCCAAGTTTGGACTCAGGCCTATCTGATCTTTAAGTCTGACTTTGTTTCTGCCCAGCCTATACCTTGTTTCCCAGAGTAATTGGGGGCATCAGTATCTTCTTTCCTTTCCATTCCAAGACTTGGGACAGCCCCAGCTGCCTGTTTGGGGACAAGTAGCCAGTCTATGTCCATAGCCTCTTCTATTCCAGGAGAATAATGAATGGCTCCTGCCACTGATTAAGTCTGCTCTCAACACTCCTGGAAAAGCAGCCGCAGGCTATTAGCATTTGTAGGTTGGTTTGGCTGGACACATTGCCAGGTTTTGAGCATCCTGCTTGCCCTTAGAAAGCTTACGGCATTTGAGAGGCATCTCTTGACTTTGTGTCTGCTCTGCATTACAGTTAGTTGTGTCCTTGGCATCTGCCCTACTAGAATATGGGCACTGCAGCACACCCCAAAGCATGTTGTCAAGAGCATGCAAACAATAGATGCTCAATAAATGAGCCCTCCAGTACCATATCGACTTGAATTTTCAGGGTCAGACTTTTCTGGCAGGAGCTCTATGTGTGAAACATTCTTCATGAGCAGCCCGCATTTGGGGGTTTCATCCTTAAACATCCTTCCTCCTCATGGCCCGTGCTGGAGAAGAGACTTCATGCCAATTCTCCTCCTTGTGCTCCTGGATAGGAGGCTTGTATGGTTCCCACCATGTTGACTACCAGCACCTTGGCCTCCCTGCAGAAGTTGCAGAGGTCATAGGTGTTCTGACAATTACATTTGCGAATTTGTTGCAACAATGTTGCTAACCTCTTTTGCTATCAGAGGGATTATTCATTATGAATTTGTACCAACTGGACAAACAGCCAAGTTTACTATTTGGAAGTGCTGAAAAGGCTGCGTGAAAAGTTAGACAACCTGAAATTTTTGCCAACAATTCATGGCTCTTGCATGACGATAATGCACCACTTACACAGCACTGTCTGTGAAGGAGTTTTTAGCCAGTAAACAAATAACTGTATTGAAACACCCTTCCTAATCACCTCATCTGGCCCCCATTGACTTCTTTCTTTACCCAAAGATAAAGGAAATATTGAAAGGAAGACATTTTGATGATGCTCAGGACATAAGGGGTAATATGACAACAGCTCTGATGGCCATTCCAGAAAGAGTTCCAAAATTGCTTTGAAGGGCGGACTAGGCACTGGCGTCGGTGCATAGCTTCCCAGGGGAGTACTCCAAAGGTGACCATAGTGACACTCAGCAATGAGGTATGTAGCACTTTTTATAGGATAAGTTCTCAAACTTAATTGTCTGACCTTGTATGTGAGGAGGTCCTGGTAAGAGTTCACGGGTTCAGGCCAAGGAAGCAGCTGTCACTTTGGTTTCCCAGCAATCTCTGGGGCCAAAGAGTATGAGGCCTGCAAAACATGACAGCCTTTTAGAAATGCAAAGCCTTCAAGTTGATGAACAGCTGTACTTTTGTGCAAATCAAGGAATAAAAATGTGAATGTATATGTATATCTCTCAAACACTGTTCTGGGAGGCAGAGGCCAGATGCAACTTTTCACTGGTTATACTGGGGGAGTGGAAGACTAGGGTGGGCTTAATCCCACTCCGGGATGCTTAGCGCTATGGAGTGACTTAAGATCCCATGTTCTATGCAGGGGAGGAGCAGATAGTTACACTATCTTAGAGGGCTTTTACGGAATACCTGAGGAGCCCCCTCTGCTGTTGTCCCCTCCAGGGAGTCTTCCTGATCACTCTCTCCTCACCCCCAGCCCCTGGCAACCACCATTTTACTTCTGTCTCTGAATTTGACTACTCTAAATACCTCAAACAAGTGGAATCACATAGTACTTGTCCTCTTTTCACTTAGCATAATGTCCTCAACTTTCATCCACGTTGTAACGAGTCAGATTTTCCATCATTTTTAAGGTTTGTGTATAGACTATGTTTTGTTTTTCTGTTCATCTGTCGATGGACACACAGGTGAAGTTTTAAGGTAGTGAGGTAGTTTTCTCTTCCCACATGCATGCACCAACTGCTCATCCATTCCCATGTTTGTGGATTCAGGAATTGCACGTGGAACATGTACAGTGTACCAGGATCTGATCGCATGCTCACAGACCTCGCGGGAGATGGGAGAGTGGGACTAGTGCTTTCATTAGGGCATAGTGAGGGCTGCGTAGAGGAGTGGTGGTTGATTTCTCTGGTACAAGAGACAGGGGTGTGTATCAGGAAAAGCTTCACAGAGGAGGAAACGTTTGAGCTGTCTCATGACAGATGAGTAGGTGATTGGCAGACAAATAAGCCTGGGAAGACATTTTAGGTAGGGGAGCAGCACATGTTTGGGTGAGCAGCATAGGGCCTCTGACAGGCTATAGGCAGTGCCAGTGATTGGGGCAAGGGGCTGGTATAGGGAGACATGAGTCTTCAGGGACAGGAGGGGGCCAAATTAGTATGGGGTCTCGTTCACCATACAAAGGGCTTTTAGGTTGTTGTATAGAAGCCAAGCCCAGAAAAGCCTCACTGGAAGCTTCTGGAGAAAGAAAAATTGAAACCATGCTAGATTTTTCTCCTCCATGGGATGGCAGGCTATTTTAGGAGGCATAATATTGGACAAAATGATTTTCAAGGTTTTACACCTCTTGCCCATGATGATCCAAAGATGCGGAATCCCTGGCCTATGGAGAATAAATGTGTCCCTAGCTTGGACCCACGTCAAGAGATGTTAGAGGTACCAGGTGTGCTCAGTTCATTTGACAACTAAGGAAGACCACCCAACTATGTGCTTGAAAAACACAAACTCAAAAATGCCCAGATACTTTGGGCGGAAGTTGCCAAGAAAGTCAGCTTTAGCTTTCAGTTAGGGAGAAAGCAATACACCCATTGAATCGGAAACATTGCCAAACCGAACAATTAGGAGCAACCTGAGACTCTCTGCACCTCTCCTAAGAGAAGGCAAAGAGACCTGGACTTGAGTCAAGACACCTGCTAAAGATCCTGGTTCTCTCAGTCACCAGCTGTGTGACCTGGGAAAAGTGGCCTGACTTACTGAACCTGTTCCCTCGCCTGTAAAAGAGGCACGACAAGACCCGTTTTGCTTCTTTTTCATTAGAAATTCTAATTTCATTAGAAATTTGTATTTCATTAGAAATACAAATGAATAAGAGCGTGTAGGTGATTCCTTCTGTGAGGCATTGTCATCATCCTGAGCCCCCTCATCTGGTTGCTGACATGAGCTCTGCCCTGGACATGACGGGATGGGGTCGCTTGCAGAGCAGAATAGTGGGGAGTAGGAAGGGGGGTGAAAAAATTGAGCTAGGGGCACAGATATGGCTGAGAAATCCCCAACCATGGGGTGTTGGTTGCAGAAATTTGCCTGGAGGCTGCTTTGGGATATCCTGGTGACAGAGCTTGGACAGAGACCTCACAAGGGGTGATTCTGTTTGGGACCCATCTCTCTGGGCAGAGGTAACTGAGGTCATTGAGAATTGGTGCCATGCCAGGCAATTCCAGAAACAGAGCATCAGATCTGAATCCAGGAAGGAAAGCTGAGGTCTAGGTCCTGGCTCTGCCACCCTTGCTCTGAACAGCCTCTCTGTTCAAGGCTCTTCATCTGTCAATCTGAAATAATACCTACTTTACCTGGTGGTCAAAGCTATTTAAACTATGGAGAACTGAAGAAATGTTTGCTGCTTGTATTGCTCTTCCCCAATCACTCAGCTTAAAGATGGTGCTGTCTGCACAGAAAACTTGCAGCCGTGTTCACCAAGTCTGTGTCCTGGGGCCTATCCATCCGCCCAAGACACTCTGCTGTTTGCCAGCCGTGGCTGCCCAGTATGCCTGTAAAAGCTAAGCATATGTTATAAAACTGCCGTAAGGTTTTATGAGACCTCTTTCCTTCTCAGAGACCGATCTTGGTGCTGTGAATCATACCAGCGTCTGTATGTGGGGCTCAGAGGAGGAGAGCAGATGGGATGGGAGAGGTGGCTTTGTGGGGGTGTTTGGAACAGCAGGATTGTGCAACCTGGAAAGGGCTCCAGCTCTGGGTAAACTTGGCTGACTCTCATGCCACTTTGGTTAGTTGGGCCATTTGGTCTGGCCCAAGAGACAAGAAGGAAAAGGAAAAAGAGAGGGGTAAAAAGATGTATTGGTGCAACACAAAATTTTGGAGACAAACAGACTTTGGTACATGTCTCACCTCCTCCATTTTCAAGTTGTGTGACTAGGCAGGTCACTTAACCTCTCTGAGCCTTAATTTTGTCATCAGTAAAATAAGAATAATAACAGCACTAAACTTATAGGGTGGTTAAAATGAGATAATGGAGGTAAAGTGCTTAGCAAGAACTCTGCAACAAAATGATCAATATGTGTTAAATAGTATTAGTTTTTGCACAGTGTTTAGTAAGTAGTAAGTGTCCAATAAATATATTCTGAATGAATAAGTGAATGAATAAACAAATGCACAAGGTGAAATAGTTGAAGAAGAGGGAAGGGTGGAAGAGGGGAAAAATTCTTGCTCAAATCTCACCTCTTCCTTGAAAACGTCTTACCTTCTCTGGCTTCTGTTTTCCTCGCCCACAAATTGAGGGTTTGGTATTAATTTATCTTCAAGGTCTCTTCCAACTCTCATATGGGAGATTCTTGATTCATTACTTAATTCATTTCTTTACCCATTATTTATTGAGCATGTATTACCTGCTAAGCAGTGTTCAATTTACTGTGATCAAAATGCACAAAACCCTTGCTCACTTGACACTTGCTTTCTAGTGTTGGCAAAAGTGAAACACACACAAATGTTTTGGATAAATAGCTTATAGATTAAGCTATAAGTCATTATGTGCTATGGAGAACTGGAAAGCATGATGAAGGGAACAGCAAATGCTGGGAAAAGGGTATTACGGTTTGAAGCAGGGAGGTCAGGGTAGGTCTCCATTGGCATGGTGCTCTTGGGCAAAGACTTAAAGGAGGTAGCAAGGAGTACCCAGCCCCATCCTCACTGAAAAAGAGAGCAGAATACGAAATGCACTTCCCTCAGTTGACCAAGGAAGGACTCCAGCTATGGACCACCACCCCTTTTCCCAATCTTTGTCCCCCTGTCCTCCTGTCCCCAGTCTCCCTAGGTCCTGTCCTAGCCAAGGTTCTCCTGCCTGAGAAGAGATGGCATTGAGGAAGTTTAATTATTATCAATTCCCCTGCTGGGTAGAAACAAAGCACCAGACCTTTGGTTGGGCAGGCAGGAAGAAAGAAGCAGGTGGTGGGACACTGGACTGACTAGGAGTCCGGTCACTTGGTTCTAGCCGTGACCCTGCCACCAGCATGCTATGAAACCTTGCTCAAGGCACTCCATTCTCCACCTCTGTTTCTTCTTCTCTATAATTTGGGAGTGTTGAACTTTTGGAGGTAAGTGATATTCTCCAAGTCTAGCAAGCATGTGTCTGTCTTTCCCACAAGACTATCAGCTCCTAGAAGGGTTGGTCTGATTCATCTTGAATCCCCAGCATCTGTGTCACAGGAACTGTGTTTCATGAATACATGGAGGACTTGACTGTAGGGGAAGGGGGTTCCCTACAGCCTGGGGCCTCTGTCAGGTGGGCCTTTATCATGAGACAGCCCTAAGCTCCAGCTCTTAACTTGCTCTTGCCTCAGATAGCTTGCTTCACTGAGTGACCCCTTCAGTCCCTGGAACCTTCTATCAAGGGGGTAGCTGATGGGAAAAGTCAGTTTGTTTACTTTTCATTAACTTCTCTCAAGAGGGCTGTGTGTAGGGTGAGGGGATGTTGGGAGCTGGTTGGATGAGTGGATAGGCCTGCGTTAGCCTCTCTTCCTTTGAGAGGCCCTCTTAGGCCAATTTACCTCCTCTCTTCCTTACTCATCCTCAGTTTAAAGCCTCAGTGAACATCTCTCAGTCCCCAGTCCTGGGAGTCTCCGGCCTTACTCTGGTTTCCCTTGGAGGCCGGCTGCCCTAATGAAGGAAACCTATGTTCCTGCATGCATCCCCACGCTCCTCCAGAGTGAGGTCCTGCCGGCTGCACGCATGGCCCAGTAATTGCCCTGCGATTGATCTGCTGATGGTAATTCTGAAGCAGCCATCGGTGCTCTGTGGGGGAGTGAGTGGTGGGGATGTGGCGATTATGAAGGAATGGCCTTGACTGCCAAGGAGTCTCAGTGAAGTTGCAGTGGCTGTCAGCTCTGCATGGCACTGCCAAGTTTCTTATGGAAGAGAAACTTGGGAACAAGGTGAGGGAGCTCACTCCTTTTCCTGATTGGTTGACGAAGTTGGGGGGGATCAGGAAGTGGACTCTTTACGCCAACACCTTTTCCCATCAAGGAGCTGAGGTACTGCTGGTGACCTGAAAGTGACATTTCAGGCTGGTATGCCAAGTGAAGTCCCTTCCCATGGGAAAATAGCTCCAGATGACTGAGTCACATTCAAGCTGTGAGAGTGCCTGAGCTGTTGACTTAAAAAAATAATGAGTGTAAAGAGGCTAATAAAACCTAGTTTCAGCACCTTACTTACATGTCTGCAGCCCCATGCACAGAAATCCCTCAAGTCCAGCTCAACTCCCCGAGAAAATCTGGGAGATACAGTGCAAAGTTGCTGGGCCCGGAGCCTTAGGTGTTCCAATGACAACCAGTGAGACCTCTGGGGAGCTCTTTACATCCTGAGTCTTGGTTAGCTTATTGGAAAATGGAGATTCCAATGGAACAGGGAAGGTGAGAGAATTATGTGAGAAAGCAGGTGGGAAAATGCTTTATAAACCATAAAGCACAAACAAACGTTAGTTGTCACAGTTTTGTTCACTTTTAGCAGCTGCCAAAAAGTAGCATTTCTAGTCAAGATTTATAATACAAAGTTTTTGTACCTCTGTCACGGAAGCCACCGTAACCTCTGCTCAAAAAGGCAACAAGAGATTAGAGGGTTTGAACCGCTCCCCCTTGGCCTTCCACCACCAGCCCTTACTCATCCCCCCACCCCACCTTTCCGCTCCTAAAACCTTGGACAAGTGACCTAATCTCTCTTAAGTCTTGCTAGCGCTGATATAGAATTCACTGGAATATGAATTCTTCTTATCTTCTGTCACCTCTCTCCTCCTTCCCATGTCTTCCCCATCCTGTACTAAACTTTTTGTCTGTGTGGACCCGCATTTGCCTCCCTGAATCCTTTCTTTGCTGCCTCATCTACACACCTCCTTTCTTCATATTCTTTGATTTTTCCAGGTTTTAGCCAAAGAGATCTGTGTCTTGCCCCCAAGAGATGCCCCTAAGAATTGTTTAAGGTGTTGGGAGGGCAAAAGGATCTCATGTATTTTTGGTACCAGAGATAATCAGATAATGGTGCAATTAGCAGTAATTTTATCTCTCCTGTAATTTCCTTTTAACCAGAGCTCCCTATGAAAAACTAAGCGGGATTTCTCCCTTTTTCCCCCCTTGTTGTTGTTTTGTCTGGAGTGTCTGTCATCAGGAATTTGGTCCGACACCCACGCGCTCTGCGAAGAAGCGAGGGGCGGGGAGGGGAAAGACGCGGTAGGCAGGACTCCTGGGGAAGCGAATCTGCCAAGCGGGCAGCTCTCCTCGGCTCCCCGCCAAGCACAAACTGCAAGAGGCAACGAACGGGATGAGGCCGCTCCGGTATCCAGGGACCGGCTCCTGTCTCTACAGCGACTCCCCGACTGCCCCCAACTCGGTACTCGGGGCTGCTGGGGAGGGAAACTGGGGAAAGACACCAGAGTCTGGGAGAGTGCAGCTAGGCTCACGTGGGGCTTGGTGACAGGGAGGGAGGCCTTCCTGTTACACATTGCCGCTGGGGTGCAGGGGGCAGCGTTCCAGGGTCCACCGGCCAGGCTCGGTCCCCCCCACCCCACCCCGGTCCCAGGGCCAGGGCTGGACACCACGCTCGCCACCCCCCACCCACCCAGGGGTGCTGTGGCACCGAAGGGTAAACACCCCCAAAGCCTTGTGCAGTTCCCGGCAATTTCCTCTCCTCCCCCAGAGCAAAGCCTGCTGAGTGTTCCCTGATTCGGGCCGGCTGAGCAATCAGCGCCAGATAACCAACGGGGACCCATAATTGCCCTGGAGTGGCCTGGGACTGCAAGGTAAGCACACGCGGTGTTCCTCCCTGGCTCTGGGTACCAGCGACACCCCTGGTGCCCGCCCCCGCCCTCCCCCACACACACCCGGTGAACCATACCGGACCCGCGGAAGAGGGGTGCGGAAGGGTGGCTGTGTGGGGCTACCCCGGGCCAGGTGAGGTAAGTGCTCTCCGCGCAGCTGAGACACCAGCCTTGCGCTGATAGTGTCGGGGTGGGGTGGCTGGTGGGGACAGGATGGACTTGTGGCAGTAGAGGGGCCAACTTGCCATATCTCTGAGACAGAGGGCCTTGGGGGACATGGGATCCTCCTGTCCCTTTCTTCCGGTGGAGAGGAGCCTCATTGATGAGCCTTGTCATCATCCTTCAAGTGTAATTTTTTTAAATTGCAAAAATCTTACAGAGCTATTAACCTCAAAAGAGTTTAACATATGGCAGACCGAGTCTCCCTCTTACCCTAATTATAAGGCTTGCAGTAATGGGGCTGTCTTTTAAGTTACAGCTGCTGCGCTTTTGGCTTTCGCTAACATTACATCCTATTAAAGAGCTACATTAAATGCATGCAAATTGCCGAAGCCACCGCGCTCTCCTGACCAATGAGGGGGACCGACTGCAGCCGAGGCAGTGATACCCAGGGTCAGACTCACCCTGCTGAGAGCGCCATATGATCTATCAATCAAACTCCTCTCATTAATTAACTAATTCATTAAATATCTTCATATATGAAGGCCCGGCCAGGCGGAACATTGTGTTGACAGGGACATCCCGTCAGCACTTAGCCCTGCGTGCTCCCCTCCTCTCCCTCACAAATCACCTTATGACTAAGAGGTCAACTTCCCAGGGTCTGTCTGCAGGGGACAGAAGCAGCCATTGTGACCATGCTCACTGCTGGGGGCGCCCTCCTTGGGCTTCCAGCACAAGACCCCCCTTGAGTCTGGTCTCTCCTGGTATGATTGTAATGAGCTGCACATGGGTCTGGTGCCTCCTTTTCCCTGGTCCCCCGAGAGGGCCTAGACTGGACTGGACCTTGCTCATCTTGTAACCCCAGCGCCTAGCGCAGGGCCGACACATGACGGATGCTCCAAGTCAGTGGTTCTCAACCTGTGCGTCGCACGACCCCTTTGGGAGTCCAACCACCCTTTCACAGGGGTCGCCGGGTACTCGTATGTGGGCGTATCTGCATGTGGGCCTGGAGACGGATAGAGGAGCGGTGTCTCGGTTCCCAAGACCATCGAAAATATGTGTTTCCGATGGTCTTAGGAGACCCCTGTGAAAGGGTCGTTCGACCCCCAAAGGGGTCGCGACCCACAGGTTGAGAACTGCTGCTCTGTTTGTGGAATAAAGAATGACATGCTGTATTGGAGAGCTTTCCTCTCTGCAGTACCCCAGCACCCAGGAGGCCTTCCTTTGCAATGCTCTTCTGGAAGACTGGTCACTCCAGGGAGGACAGGATGGTATCAGCCATGTGAGCAGATGGTATCCCTGGAGAGCAGTGGCTTAATCGTCATCCTGAAGGAGGGGAGGGGTGGGGAGAAAGGAACTTTTGTAGTTCAGACCTGGTAAACCACGTAGCCACAATACTCAGACACTGAAGGAAACTCTTGCAAGAAGAATAAAGCTATGTCATTCTCCGAGCAAAAAAAGAGACATTTTAGAATGAATGGTGGGCTTCCTTAGTTGTTTATATACATATATAGGTATATATTTTTTGTATATACATATATATATATATATATATATATATATATATATACATATATATGTCCGTTGAGCAACTATTATATAATCACTCCTTTCGTATACTACCTCATTTAATGTTGGCATCAACTTTGCCAGGTGGTTATTTTTACTTCTAGGCTGTAGGAGAGAAACAAGCTCAGAAAGAGTAACTTATCCAAGGTCAAGTGGCAGAGCCAGAATTCAGACTCAGGCTTGCTGGATCCAAAACCAGTGCCTACAGCTATGTCATCAACATGTAAAAAATAACACTTGAGATCAGTGGATGTGCTGCTCTCCTCAGTTGCCTGCTGTTCCCTTTTGTTCACATTGTTGTCTTTCCTTGTTTTGCAGCAGCCACTGTCAGCACTGTCTTCTCTGCTGGGCTGGTGGGTCTTTGCTCTATGTTTGGGAAGGCGGAGATCACAGCACACTCCGTGATCAAGGCTGCTGGCTCTTGACTGTGCTTAGGATGGCTTGGAGTGGGTTTTCATATAGAGCACCTCTGGCAGACAAACCCAGCTGTCTCAAAGCAGTGTGCCTGCGAAGACCTGGGCCTTGAGCAGCATGGTACCGGAATGGGGATGGGTGGGCCAGCTCCTGGAGAAGGCTCCTTACCAGGCTGTGGCCCCTGTGAGAGAGGGCAGTCACAGGTGAGGGCTGCAGGTCAAAATACAGAGGGTGCCGTGCAGGTGTTAGCTGTAGTTCCTGCTATTCAGTTCATGCAAATTTCCAATCCACCCAAATGAAGTGAGGTGTACAGGCAACTTCCAAAGCCTGGAAATTCCTGGGAAAACACATGCCCAGATCCTTTTATCCTCCCTCTCTCCCCGCCGTTCTCCATCTCACTCACCCTCTTGCCCTACTGAGACATGGGGCTGATGGACTTTGGCTGTTAGCAGCCGTGATGTTGGGCTCCCACCTCACCATGGGCCTCTATAGCTTCTTCTGGCCCCCTCAGTTCCCAAGAATACTTTTGGAATGGGGCGTGCTGTGCTAATGGGGGTTAATGGTAACCTCGGAATCAATTTTCCCTCCCAGAAGAAAATTCTCCCGGCTTAGGCTGCACAGACTATAATAGTGAAAATGGCTCTAGATTTGAAAAATTGGCACGTTGTAGTCCAACAAGGCAATTTTTGAATTGTTCCATGCAGCTGTGCTCCTCTGGATGCTGTGCTACTTGTACCCTAAAGCTACAGGATGGAGAGCACTTTCCAGCCAAACAGCTCTAAGGTGGCTCTTTCTTCTACCACCCCAGCCTGAATTTGTTTTGTTGTTCACCTGCCCCAAATCCTTGGAGATTTGGCCTCTACCTCAGCAGCTGCCAGAGGTATTGGACAAGGAGAGAATGTCGTGGCTCTCTGCAGAGCCTAACTGCTGAGGGCGAAAGGCCTGGGAACGAGGGTTTCCTGAAGATCATGGGTCCATACACTGGCTGCAAAGACAGGCCAGGAGAGAACAGGACCACTGCTCCTAGCCAGGATTTCCTGGCCAGTGTCAAAGCTGGGCCTTTCTTGGACTGAACGATGAGAACCCAGAAGAGGAAATGTGTGTGATCACTGTGCAAGGCATTTGATTTGGATGATCCGTGTTTTCGCTATTATAAAAGGCAAGCCATTTTGTCTTGTTTTTTGTGTGTTTGTTTGTTTGTTTGTTTTAAAGTGGCAAAAAAACGTTTATTAGAAGAGATAGTACATTCCAAAGAAGTAGGACTGGGAAGAGCATCAAGAAAGCCGGCTCAAGGTTCAAGGTGGCATTATTAGGAGAAAAAATACACTCCAAAGAGTTGGGAGTGGGCCCCGAGCAAAGGCAAGGATCGAGATGCTCAAAGGGCCTTGTCTTGCTTTTATAAACATTAAAATGCAAAGCGAGAAAGCATCCCAGGATACGTATTTCAAGTAATAGAACCACAGAATGGTAGAACTGCAAGGCAGTTTAGTAGTTACTTAGTGAACATCCTCATTGTACAGATGGGGAAATGGAAGTTGCCCAAGGTCACACATCTGGTTGGTGGAGAAGAACTGGCTCCCACTGTACTGGGCTCCTGGCTTATTGAGTGGTCCATCGTTTGATTTCTGTGTTCCTGGGGCCACAGCTCACTTCTTCCTAGGTAGTCCCCCCTTCCCTGAGTCCTCTTAATGTTGTGCCTATTTGGTGACTCAAGATCACAACCACATAATGTGTTGAAATGGAACATGGAACAAGTGCTAAACTGGGACTTGACCTGCTCACTGGTCTCCCTGCTGCCCACCTTGCCCCATTCCAGTCCATTCCCCTCAATACATCCTGTGATCTCCTCCATACCCATGCATCATCTCATTCCCTTACTCCTCCGGATACAGTCCAGGCTCCTTTCTGTGGCTTGCCATGTTATTCATGATATGACTTGTGCCTATTCCTTCAGCCTCACGGCTCACAGCCATTTGCCTTTCCCCCCTATCTTCACCTCATCACCTCCAATTTTCCTGTCATGCTGACATTTTCTTCATTTCCTTAAATGCATCTTGCCTTCATTCACCTTCACATTCCTCAGTTACCTTTGCACGTTCAATTATACCCTCCTCCTAGAAATTCCTATCGACCCCAACCTGTCCCCTCACCCCCACCTCCCTTCACCTGGATAGCTCGAACTCATCCTTTGGTTTCAGCTGAGATGCCAGTTTCTCTTCACTGAGCCCCAGAGTCTGGATTAGGTGCTCTTCCTGTGGACTCCTTTACTTCCCCTGTGCCTTCCCTTACCACTCCGTATTGCAATTGCCTGACGGCCAGTTTGAATCTTCCATTAAAATGTAAGCTCCAGGAGGGCAGGGTCATATCATGTTCACTGTTTTATACACGGCACCCTGAAGACTGCCTGGTTCATGACAGGCACTCCATGGGTAGTTGAATGACATATAAAATGATGCTACCACTAGTATAACAAATAACAACAGCTGGTATTTATTGAGGGCTTTCATGTGCCAGAAACTATGCTAAGTGCTTTATGTGCACCATCTAATTTATATTCGTTCTTATATGAATTGAATGAGGCCAGAGACAAGGGTACTCATCCTGGCTCTGCTACTCACTGACTGTGTGACTTCGAACAATTACCATGGTTTCCTCATCTTTAGAATGAAGGAGGGAGAAGGGGGCAGGCCAAATTTAATTTCTCAGTTCTTTTTCCTAGGCAAAGAGGGAGTCAAGAGTCAGCCCACGTGAGCCTCGCGGAATCAACCCTCAGAACTGAGGCAACCAGCAGACACGGAGGGTCAACTTTCTAGTCTGGGAGCACAAGGAGAGGGATATGGCCAAGAGGCTGGGAAGGGCGGCAGGTTGCTCTCCCATGCTGTGGTCGAGCTTCAAAATAGAGAAGCCCGCTGCTAGCTGAGTCATTAGCGCTGGTCCTCGCCCTCACCTCGGGCATTGTCTGATTTAAGTGTAATAGCTTGTTTGGTGGATTTTGCCTTGTATAGAAATCCCCCCAAGAGCGAAGTGCTGCATTCAGCCGGGAGAGCACAGGCCTTTGTGAGCTGATGGCCAGGCCTCGGCTGAACGTGTTTGGAGTTGGTTATCAAAGGGGAGGATAAATTAGAGTGCAGAGCTGAAAAGAGAGGAAGAGGGGGTCCTTTCATGAGCAGGGCTGAGCACTTAGGCAGCTAACTTGGGGCTGGGAAGCCCCAAGGCTGGCCTCCTCGCCTTTCCGCAACGGTACTGCTACAGGCAGGCCTGGCTATACTGTGGCAGAGCCCTGGGGGCATGAGAAGGGCTGCACATGGGTCTGGTGCCTCCTTTTCCCTGGTACCTGGAGAGGACCTAGACTGGACTGGACCTTGATCATCTTGTAACCCCAGCGCAAGGGATGTTCATAACAGAATGACCTCCAGGGCCTGAGGAAGGGCTGCTGGTGCACACTTTCCCTCGTTGCCACATTTTGTCGCTTTAGCCCAAGTTTAATGTCGCACAAGCCTTAAGCTCCCACCCCCTGGATTTACTGAAATCACATTCTGATGGCACTGAAGGCTCCAAGGGGCCTTTTTCGTCTCATGGATGCTATTCAGGGGCTCGGACCCTTCTCTTTATTGACTCCACCCTCATCTTCACCACTCCAGCACCCAACACACACAAGCTGGTTCTCAGGGCAGTTGTATGGAGTGCCCTGATCAACCAGAAATGTGGAGCTCCCAAAATAAGTGGCCCTGGGCATTCTCCCCTCTCAATGGACTTGGTTTCTGATGTCCAGATTCACACGCCAAGTCGGGCACAGCTGTCAGCTGAACTACAGGCAGGGCTGCCTAAATATTGTAATAAGTTCACCAAATGCCCAGTTTTTTCCTGCAAGAATACCTCCCCCTGTGTTTCGGTGGGCCTTTTTTCCCCTATTGGTGTCCCTGGGCCCCTCATTGACAGCATCTTACCCTGTGGATCTCAATCAACAAGGTCATTCCTCAAGGAAACAGAGACCTACCTTTCATTTGCCCATTAGCGACTAACCCTCAACAAGAACACCTTAGGTGTATATCATTTTCCAGCTGGAAGGAACCTGTGTCACCAAGCTGTAGACCTATTAGTAAAACCTGTTTAGAGTTACAGATATTTTAAAGAATTATTTGAAACTTATGACCCCTCATCCCAGCAAAATACTAATATTCTCATGCATACAAAATTTATCTGCCATTTCTGGGGTTTACACCCTCAAAATCTAGGTATACATTTGAATCATCTGAGAGCTTTTATAAAATTCCAGAGGTCTGGGCCTTATACACAGACTCATTTAATTGGTCCCAGGTGGGTCTGGGCATTAGTGCTTTTCTTCTAAAACGCTCTAAGAGATTCTAATACAGCCAGGATTGAGAATCATTACCCTCGGGCCTCTTGCACACCCCTCCTCCCCGCCCCCCTGCAGACTAAGAACCCCAGCTGTGGACAGCCAGTGGCCAGGCAGAGGCGCATAGGAAGGCACATGCTGGGGCTGTTGCAGGAATGGGTTAGACACCAAGAGCAGATTTGTCATTTTGCCCACTGTGTTTAAAATCTTTTCCTTCTTTCCTCTCCCCTTGAGGGGTGCGTCTCTGGTGTTCACTTAAAATAATTTAAGCGCACCACAGTGGGAAGGGAGCCTGGTTGCCTTGATGTGCTCTGTCATTTCAAGGAGCTCAATAAAAATTTAGTTTCGGTGTTCGCTCAATGCAACTTCCGCATGCAGGTCTTATGTTGCAAACCAGATTTCTCTTTTCATCTGGTCACCCCCAGGGAAATTCTGTATTTGAAATTCAAACAATATTTGGGCTAAGAGAATTTCTCATTATATGTGGTGGGGAAGGCCAATGCGAGGAAAGTGCTGAGAAATGATTGAGTGACATTTCTATTTGCTAGTTTGACTTTTCCACCAGTGGCACCTGTGCTTTCAGGCTGCCAGAGAACTTCAGCTTCCTGGTGTGGACTGGAAATGCCAGACCGCTGGAAAAAATCACCTGGAGGAGAAAAATGTGAGTGGGCTAGCAACAGATTTGAAGTCAATGTGACCTCAAGCTAATATCGTTAGTAGCAATGGGTGTAAGATAGGGAAAGAATTCTGTGTTTTGCACAAGTTCACTCTAGAGAGATTGTTTGAGTTCTAAACTCTGAAGGTTGAAGGGAACTTAGAAGTCATCAGAACCTACCTTGTTTGGCAGGATAATCCCCTCTCTAACACCCTGACACTGGACGAGCATTTTATTTTTTGGGATTAAAATAACATGTTTTAGCTTACATTTCTGTTGGTCAAAACATAAATGACAATGCTTTTTTTGACCGTGTGAAGTGGGTGTTTTTATCTCCATTTTAATGAGAAATTTATTTTTTTATGTTTTGATTTTTTATTAATTTCAGGTGTACAAAACAACATAAAGATTAGGCATTTACACCCTTCATGAAGTGATAACCCCAACAAGTCTACTACCCATCTGACATTGTACAAAGGGTGAAGCATTTAAATTGATTTATACATTTATTCATACATTTTTTGAGCACCAACAATGTCTGGTAGTTGGCAAGGTATATAGGGGAATTCAGAGACTTACAGGTAATACCTGCCCTTAAGTAACTTAACAGTTTCCGGAGAACCCGAACAGCTACAATGTCAGGAAGACATGGTAGATGCTGTGAATTCAGGGAGCTGAGGGGAAGAGAGGTAACCTTGATTGAGAATCCATAAGGAACCAGGTCCTTTCCCCAAATTGCGTCTTTTAATCATTACAACTCTTGAAAATCAGACTATCATCACCCCCATTTACAGACAAGGAAACTGATGCTCAGAGAGGTGAAATTGTTTTCTCAAGGTGGCAGAGTCAATAACAGGAGTGAGCATGTTAACCCAGTATGTTCCAGGCCAATGCTCTTGCCACTATAACAATCTATTGTCCTTTCCTAAGAGGAGTTCAAAAACAGCCAAGATTACTTTTCAGCCAGGGTGGGGAATCAGCGAGGAAGGGTATGAGCAGGCAGAAATGGGGAGATAGACAATACACTGAGAGCATAGCTACCCAGGCTGGATAGTGCTTGGAGAAGACCAAGTTACACATTGGGATAGAGGAACGGAGCAGAAGAGGGAGGTGGGTCAGATTTTTGAAGGCACAGAAGCTGAGGAGTTAGGATTTGTGGTGGGATAGGTAGTGAGAGGCCCCTAAAAGTTTCAGAAGACAGG